TACCCACCTCTCTCCTCAACAATTGTAATAGAACGTCTGATTTCTAAAAATGAGAAATAACTCTTTCACAACTCAATGTATACTCATTATAATATTATGGAATGTCAATGGTATTTCTAATCATAAAAATTAACTTAGGATTACACTAAACAATCAAAGAATCGACATTGATTACTCTCATATCTAAAACTCATTTTGTAAAGTTTCATTTTTTTCAATCCTAAGCCACCATAGGCTTAAAATATATTATAATAGTCTATGCAGGCTATCAACTAATACATTTTCTTGTCATCCTGACACTCATTTGACACTCATAAGATCAAATTCTCCTCTTACACATAGATTTTCAAAATAAATGTTAAAATGTTAATGTTTATGGAACATGATTTAATTTTTTTTTACTGTTAATTTTTTTTGATACTTCTTACTTCATACATTTATAGTTTTATAATTATAATCTGTCTTCAGTTTTCTTAGAATTTACTTATTCATTATTTTATTAGACTTTGTCAAAGGCAATTTAATCATTAATAAGACGTATGTGTAATATTATGTATTTACAATATAACTCTTCCTTGGAAAACAGCAGACATATACAGGATTTGGATTTAATACTTGTAAAATATGATATAAACAACTAGACAAGTGATAAAAAAAGGAATTTTCAATTTTGTAATAAATAAAATTGCTAGCCATTTTACCGTCATGTAATTTCAAATCATTGGGTAAATCTAGTTTGATCAAATATTTCTGTGTCACATTCTTTTTTTTAATCGTAGATTCGTAGCCTATTTCTTTTTTCTACTCGTCAAACATTAACTGTGTTTACTAATAAAATACTTCATGTACTCGAAGAACACAAGATAAAAATTTGTACTGAAACAGTAAGAATAGCTTTACGGTTTCACGCATTTTAAAGGATGAAATATTTAAGTCATCCACAAAATAGTCTTTCTTTGAAGTGTTATGTCATGTCAAAAGTAATTTTATCGAGAAACAATTTAAAAATTTAACATATACCTACCTATCTATAAACACGACAATCATTTATATTATTCGAAGGATTTAGTATTATATGAATACAGAATTATTATTTTAGTTCAAAATCCGTAAATCCGTTTCGTTGACTTTTGATATTTACATATTAGTTTTAATATTCAATACATTTCTTAAAACTATAATTATAGGTTTATTTTGTTTATATGGAGTATAGCCCCAGTGTAGGTAGCATTTAATAATTAATATATTCCATTTAATCGATGATGTAGGTAAATGAATAACAATTTTATTAGTAAACTAAATAATTCATAATATGTTTGAAATGTACAAAAAAATAATTCCAAGTATTTAATAAAATAAATTTGATAATCTTGTGAAATATCCGTCTATATTTTCTACTTTTATTCAACTATAGTAGACGCTATGCAAAAACATAATAATATATTACATATTATTATAACATAATTAACATTATAATGTTTTTAAATTTCTCATATAATCATATTGAATTATTTTATAATATTTTGATTTATATAATATACCTAATAATAAGTATTATAAATGTATATTTACTTAAACATTGGCTTAAAAATGACCAAAATCACATGTGGCATGTATACTTTTATAGTTTTATAAATATACTCAGGTAGACGAATGAAAGTCATAGGTAGGTACATTAAAACAGGGTGATTCATTTAAGTGTCTGTACACTTTATTTCAAAAAGTTGATACCTTTCGAACATTTTTTTTTTAGATTCTAAGCTTAGAGATGAATGTATTGATTTTACAATGTAGTGTGTTTTATTATATTTTTTTTTTTTGTCTGTATACACGATAAGTAAGTAGTTGAAGTTAATTTCGATTTTCAACACTTCAGTATCATTAGCAGTGGAAAAATAATTCTATTCGGTGCATTGGGGAAGTCAATATTTAAAATTCCGTATAGTTGTCAAAAGGCCGCGGGAAAAAAAAAATTAAGGAAAAACTGGAATTTTTACTCAATATTGGGTTTCGACAAAATCGATTTCGGTTTTTGGTGTAACTCTTAGAAAAATAATAGATTCATAGAATTTTCACTGAATGTATATATATATTAGTAATTTAAACGCACCAGAAAATTATCAAAATATTGCGACTCTTTTTGTGCTATTTATGGGCATAAGAAAATTTCGAGTTTGATTAGTTTTTTTTAAATTATTGTCAATTAAATATTTTGTACTGGATAAAATAACTTTAAAATGTAATACATCGTTCATCATAAGTTATTGTTAGTAGAATTTTAAAAAATAAGTTGAGCGTATATCCACAAAAATTGTTATGAGCGTTTGAAGTTGAAATGTTAAGAAAATTCATTAAAATCACGAAATATGGCTAATTATTTGGAGTTTAAAATTCATAAAAAACTTTCTATTCATATCTAAGCTTTGAAAATGTAATACAAGATTCCTCTTAAGTTTTCCTACATTTAACATGAAAAATACTTTACAGAAAAGTCAAATACAATTTTTACGAGCGTTTGAAGTTATACATTGGATATTCACCCGTAAATTAACAAATTCTCAATTTTCATATTTTGTTGTTAGGTATTCAAAAACGAATAACAATAGGTACTTTAAACTTACAGCAAATGATTATTTTATCATTCACTATACCTTCTTGATAAAATTTTCTAAATATTTTGACTCGTTTTAAGCTGCTTACGGACATTTTCAATTATTTTAGTTCATTTTTCTATAAATGTCAATAAAATTGTTTTCCTTGGTCAAAAACCTTGAATTTTTCTGATATACCATAACAATAGCAGTTGAAAAATATATAGACACGTTTTTGTATAAGCGTTTAAAGTTCACGCATGTTGACGAAATTTATCAAATTGAAAATATACAACTTACTTAGTAGTTAAAAATGTATAAAATATTCAACTTTTATAGCTAAGGATTAAAAATGTAAAACAAGGTTCCGCGAAAGTAGTTAATTCTGTAACCAAAAAATCTAAAAAATATATATACACAGGTTTTTTTGGTTTTTTTTATAGTTATTTTAAGTTAAAATTTGGAAGTAATTACATATTAAATAACCAAGAATAACGATTATAGTTATTTTGTTGCAATTTAAAAATATTATTTTTGGCTACAAAATATAATATTATAATTATATACAAATATTTTATTATAATAAAATGAAAATAATATGAATCCTAGGCTGACAAACCGTCTCCGCTGAGGATCGTTTTTTGTATACAATGATATTATATCATTTAGTTCAAATTTAACACCATCCATACTGTACAGCAGAGTGACATCCATTTAACTGTTTTTTTTTTAAAATTTAATTTAGATTGAAAATTTGCAAGGCAACAATATTTTTGTACGAGAACAGTCAACGTAATCCTGTCTACATTACATCTTTAATGTTTCTTCAATAAGTTAAATCATCTTTGTATTGTTATATCAAATTATATCCATAAATAAATACGAGTACATAATATACTCACAAATACAGAAACAAATAAATACATTTCTAGTAAAAGTATTCTTTTATGGGCATAAGGAATACAGTTAATTTTTGGAATTTTGTTTTTATAGTTTCGTCTAATGTAATTTGTTCACTTTATTTTTTGGTCTGAATGGCATTAGTGTACCTAATTTTGTTATTTTACTGAAAATTAAAATCAACTATTATGATGAACTTTTTGTTTAGAAAAAAACATACCTACAACTATAAAATGATGACCTATACCATTTTGAAATAACAAACATATTTCATTTTTAATTGATGAATGTGGCTTATGTTAACTTACACTTTTTCAACGAACCGTATGTATTTTTTGTTGTTCGACAAAAGACATTTATTGAAAAACAATTTGTGCCATCATATAAATGGATTATCAAATGTGAAATTGTTTTACAACGAAAATCGAGATAAAATAAAAAACGTAGTACAATGATAAAGTACAAATGTACTAATTATTATAGTATCTATCACGATGTTTGGTACATTTTTTAGTATCTGTTTAGTGTGTACGTCGTATGTAATTATTTTGAAGGAGTTTCGACTCCGTAGCGGTTGGGAACATTTGCTAGACGCTTATTAGAGCGGCCTCTCTCTCTATCTCCCTATAATGGTACTTATTAAAGTTGTCCGTTGTCATCTCTTTAAGGAGCCCTTAGCCGGTTTTTCAAATTTTCCGCAATTCTAAAAAGATTGAATATTATATTTTATATTTTATATTTTGCCACCCTAATTATAATACTTTTTCATTAATCTACTCCTCAATACCTATTTAGGGGGTGGGAGATTGATACGGTGTATTAAATCGAAAAAATTACTTAACAAGAATAATTGTCAGGTCTTGCAGAATGACCGGATTTTGATAACTATTTTATCTGAAAAAAGAAGACTTCCTAGTTCCTACCATTATTTCAAATAATGGTGTAATATAATTCGTAAAAAAAAGCTTAACATTGTATTATTTTTATAAGACATATTATAAAGTTTGAAATTAAAATATTGAAAAATGGAGTTCAATGTGGCCTATAGGATATTATCCTCTATCAGTCAAAACAAAAATTATCAAATTTGGTTGATTCTACAGAACATGATCATTATTCCTGTAAAACGTAGTTTTATGGTCAAAACTACGTCATTGTCACAGGGTGCCTTAAGGAACTTAACGGTGTCACCGTATTCGGCCACCTTATCTGTAGACCTTTTTTTTTCTTGTGGTATCTACGACGTTGCCGGAACTTCTTGCGAATTACGCGGGCAACGACGCCATCGTTTATTAATTATCTAATGACATACAAAAAATTGACGAAACTCTCAGGAAGCCGGACGGAGACTACTTTCCATAGCGATTACTAGTGTATAAATTGTGTAGACTCTGGACCTAAGAGTAACATTAAGCCTTCATTTCGACCCTCCTCTTCACGAACCTGCGTGGGCCCGCCACTCTTGGAAGTCACGTACCCCTCAGTTGGTCTTCAAGTACAGTATCTCCTTCACCATCTTATAGCAGTCTGTATGTTTCTACTGGGCCGTGGCCTTTGCGGCGGTATCCTGTGGTAGGTCCTCGAATACGGTATCACAGATTTATCTGTAGACCTGGATCCCGGTATCATCAGTAAGTTGCAACTCTGCGTAGTACTGTTTCCAGTGTGATCTAAGCCACCGATTGACTTTTCCACGTGTCCTAAATTATCTCCACATCCATTCATCGTTTCCTGGAATCGATTACTCCTTTCTAAAGGTCATCTTTCTTATCCCGTGTGCGACATTATTTCTTTCCAAGTTCATAATTCACAATCATAATAATATTGATATATATTTTAAATCTAAATTTTGAAATTCATAAATATAAAAAAAAGGTTATAAGCATTTGTATACCTCGTTAATACATTTATTGAAATTAAGAGTAAAAAATAAGTAAAAAAACTAAAAACCTGAGCATAAAGAATGACAGTTTTAGTTGCTAGAGTACTACAACTAACTATTCTACGGACCACAATATTGACTCAAATTGTATACAATGTATTTGGTGAAAATAATATACCTATCATACTGCACGACTAATAGAAAAATAAGTTAGTGATGGTAATATAATTTATAATAAAATATTCTTAGCCTATTCTAAAACCACTCAAAAATAGAGACCGACACGTCGTCTTCACTCAGAATCATTTTTTGTATTAGAATGATTTATCATTGGATTTAATTTTAACACATCCATTACAGTGACCTACTCAATGACGAGGTACACTTGAAACCTACTATACAGCAGAGAGTGACTTTCCCGTTTTTTTTTTTTAATCTTTGAAAGAATGTCAAATGCTCTACACACAATACTGTAATTTTAATGCGACCCAGCCTCACCGTCAACGTTCGCCTCGTATACATAAATCATAAAAATGAGTAATGACTACAACAGACCACAAGTCTTGTGCAGACTACAATTTTCAAACGATTGTTTTTAGCCCAAAAGCCTTTTTTGTAAAGTGTTGAGATCCAATATTCAATAAATCATCGAATTTAATGGTAGATTAGATGTTATGTGGTCAAATGTATAGTGTATACTGTATACATTAAAACATTAAAAACATATATTGCTATTAATCATTCATTAATTGATTGTGTTGATGGGTTTCTGGGTTTCTCTATACCTACGTATAATTAAAACTACCTAAATTATTATTAAATATATTACAGTGTCCGAATTAAGATTAGTTTTTGCAATATAAAAAATATTTTTCATCATAAAAACTTATTTACAATAAGTAATTAATTGATTTATGTTTAGCATAATATTTTTAAATAAATTATTGTGATAATGTCGAAACACGACTAAATAGTTCTTAGTTTTCCAAAACATTTTAACAAGACAAACCAGCTCTATGTAAATTAACAGAATAATATGTCAAATACATGAGTTTATCATAAAAATGAATTATTTCTATACTTTTATAATTGTGTAAGTATTTTTATTGAAATAGTTGTATACACATCCCACTCTGGATATTTGTGTATACCTAGCTGTATGTTGGTATGTGTGACTGACGTAACCCCGAAGGGCTTTTACAGAAAGCAAGTTGAGAACTTTTTGGACGATATAATACCTGCACGGCTGCATATGACAATAAATTGATAGGTATTTTGGAAGATGTATGTGCATTTGACAAATTTAAATACTATTTATATTTTAAGCTACAAACATTTTTACACAATAAGATCGACCAGGGAGGTACCAACCTAAAACTCGTTTAAAAATCAATAAATCACTTTATTTCCGAAATTTAGTTAAAATAAATTGTTTTCACTTTTAAAAAATTATGAAAATGAAACAATTTTGTTATCACTTATCAGTTATCACATAATAATATGGAATTTACAGCGAATAATAATGTTATCTGGGGGACGGAGTGGCCGAGCGGACTGAGGCGTCGGTTGCGCCTCACACTGACGCTGGTTCGATACCTCGGCCATGGGCGGCGTTTTTCTTCGGGCAAGTCACGGTGTCCGGAGAACAAGTACCACCATCCCCCACCCGAGCATGGCAGATACCTACGGGTGCCCAAATCAAAAATTCTTCCAAAACAAACACACACATGTTCCCCTTACCAACAAAAACCTACAAATAAAACAAAAAAAATATCTAATGGCCCAAGTTGCTATTTAGTTAAAAAAATAAAAATATAATGTCATCTAAGTGAAGACCGTTATTTTGCAAACCGTCCAGTAAACGTGTTGAAGTTTGTCTATACACCTGTCCATAATATTTCAGTTGAAATCACACGAATTTCCCTTGTAATCACTTGCTGAAATATCCTTAAGAATGAGATGATTTCCAATAATAACTTTCGTTTTGAGGTAACCCAAAAATATGAAGTTATCGCAGACCACGAAACCAACGGCCTGACGTGGTGAAATTACGCGCTCTGGAAATTAAATAGGATACAACTCCACACTGTCCGCACTCATAAAATGGCAACAAAAAATTTTTTATTTTATAATTTTACATTTTATATGTTCTTAATCTTATCAACATTGATATTAGATAAACGCTTTGATTTAACGAAAAGTTCAACTATGTTAAAATACTGATTTATATATTGAATTAATTTGAAATATTATTAATAACAATATTATACTTTACATTTTAACTGTGAAAATACACAACGTTTAATCATTTAACATTAACCTGGACTGACATCGAATCTGAATTATCTTGCCACCCTATAATTCATAATTGAAATGATTTTTCACCTTCAAAGTACATTTAAAATAATTAAAAACCTAGTATTTAATGTATAGACTAAATTAATAGAATTATTTTTTAACTCGAGATAATATTAAAGTTTAATTATTTGTTTACAGCGCCAAATGCCCATCATGCGATCATTTTTAGCTCTTGTTGTTCGTATTTTATTATCATAATCCTTTCGTGTGGAATAAGACAAAAACAATAAAAACGTTATAAAATGTTCTTAACACGCTTGGTGAAGCGTTCAAAACTTTCTAATCTAATACTTATATATATATATTTATTTATTCAAACTTATCTCGAGATAAAAGTATCAGTAAAATAGAGGAAAAAGCTAAAAAAAAATAAAATAAATTTTGTCCAGCCATGGTCATAAGCATTTTACAAATATATTTACTACACTCGCGGTCACTCAGAACGGTCATGTGACAGTAGAACAAAATTACTATTATAGACAGTAATTGTCAGTACCTATAGGGATAAGACAGATACAACTTATCGTCCTATGGTATATTATACGTCTTCATCGAGACCGTTTTATACCGACGCCGGTGAATCGGACGATATTCGTTTGCCAAATCAAAGGCTATTCCTCCGCAATCTGCCACATTGTACCTATATACATAACAATTAAAAGCCGTAATTCGTCCGTGCGAAAAATAACAAAATAATATAAATCCCGACTCGAATACGAAATATACGCAACCGTGGAATACGACGACGATTATATATTATAATGTTCGCGAGTTATATAATATTAAAGTGTGCGTGTAGAGTTGTTATGATGATGGAGGGGCTGAAAAAAAAAATGCGAAAAAATAAAACTGCGTGAAAGGGATTGATGAGAAAAAAATAAAAAAAAAATTGTTAAGAAAAATAAACTGGTAAAAAGAAACTAACCAGCGGGTTGGATTCCGGGACGAGAACTTAAGCGTAGTTATACCATAGTGAGGCGTTGGTGTCGGTGGAGGGTGAGGGGTGGTGTCGTATCGCGATGCGCGCGCACCGCATTATCCTCCCCTCGGAGCAAAGGGACCGCCGAATAACCACTGCCGCCGACTGTGACGCCGCCACCGCTCCCGGACCACCGGCGCCGCCGTAGTGTTCCCAGATCGTGTCCATTGTGATGTCGTGAACCGAACGAGATTTTTAGCAGTACGCACCGGGAAGAGCATACAGGAAATTGGCTTTAAAAAAAATATTTCGTGTCGGGAAAAAACCAGGACGATCTCGACCGAAATTAATACGATCGCATGCGTTGAATAAAATACCACGTTCGTCGCTGCAGTGTCGGCGAAATAATAGTCGTCGCGAACCGGGACGGTCCGAGAGGTGAAACGAAAAAATATTATTCGCAGCCCGTCGTCTCCGTCCGTCACGTGTAGTGTCGTGTGCGCGCGTGCAAATAAATCGTCGTCTCCGCGGGTCGTCGCGTAGATCTCCGGAGACGGACGTTCGACCAATCCTGCGGTAAGTTTCAATGGGTAACATAATATTAATATCGAATGTGTTCACCGTGTGTTATGTAATAACTACAAAATGGACTCGCCGCACTGTGCGACGACGCACTGCAATCTCGTGTATTTGAATGCCGATTTAAAATATAAATTAATGCGTTATGACGTATAATGTGTTATTGGCACTACATTATTGTGGTGCTCGGATTGGAAAAGGAATAAGTTGAAATCAACAACGTTTAAGGACTGCGTTCCCAGTGTGAAAATTAACGAACCTTTAGCCTTTTGGGCGGCTTTGAAACTCACATCCATAGGCCCAAAATATATGAACTATTTTAAAAGAATATACATTATAATATAAGTACATTGAGTGTTGGTATTTCTAAAAATTCAAACAAATATATTCCGGGCTTTGATCGTTTTGATTAGAATCAACTTTGACCTAATTTCACGATGAACATTATTATATTATTTCAATTAAATGTACCTATATAATTTTTGATTCTATAAAACAAAAATCAAAACAGTAAAATATCAATAAAACGAAATCCTTTTATGAATTCAAAGTGAATATCTTGGTAGTTGGTGCGGTTTGGTACCATAACCATAATAATCAGTTGTATAATTCGTGATCGTTACTATTATTACAACATTTTTTTAATAAAAACTTCACCAGATACGAATTACAAAAATGGTACATAATAATATATTTATGTACTTAAAAAAAAAATGTTGCAAACTATTATACGACGTAGGTACCGTCATGCTGTTCGACGAGAACGGATAATATATCAGAGGAAATAATATATGATAATACCTATATGAGAGGAAATATATGGTGCGATCAAATTCGTAAATAGTTTCTCTCACGCCAACATTTTGGACTCGGCACAACCGTCGTGCCCTTTTGTGGAGGCGCATCGAAAACGCCGATGACGTGACGCTGAGATGCATCAGGAACAGGCGCTATAGAAACGCACACGTGCGTCAAAAAAAAAAAACC